CAGTTTTGTGTTCATTAAGGACTTCAGGATCGACAACAATGACTCTACAATTTAGGAGATCAGGATCGCTTTCGAGAATCTTTAAGACCACCTTGATTTTTTCCATGTGAGCTTTGTTTTAATCTTTTTTTGTCTACTTTGAGTTTGCTTGCAGTTTTAGTTTGGGTTTTTCTTTTTTATCTTTTTTTTTTGGCAATTAGAAATAAGCATAAAGAAATATTGTTTTCTATGTATAGTTAGTGAGTTGCATTGTAGTTCTTAGTAGACTGCTTAATACCTATCATTTGTTATATTCCTTTTACATTTAATTACATGGCTTATTAATCTTCTAGGAGGTTTTGGCATAATTTTCAATATACTGAAGTAGATAACTCTTTATCTACAACGGAAGAGTAAATAACTAAATATTACTTTAGGTTGTGCATAGAAAAACTACAATTTTTTTAAATTTTTTATACAATTCTGCATTTTTTTTTTTTAGTCATGATACAGATGTAAAATAAATTTAGTCCTGCCTCTCGAAAGTTTAATGGACCTTTGAGTTGTCAAGTTTAATTTTGTTTCAATAATCACTGTAGGCTGGTCTTTGGCTTTTTTGCATTTTAGAGAAAAGATATTCATATGATTCCATTTCTCTACTTTTTATTGTCTGCAGTCATAGCAACTCTTAATATTTTTACATAAACTTACAATCAGTAGGCATTCATTATATGGCACTCCCAATTATATGTTTTGCCTCTTTTTTTCTTGCAATTTCAATAGGCTCCCCAAGCAGGTTTAAAGTTTTGCTACAATTTCTGAAAATGTTGTTCACAAATATTTTTCATGATTATATTCATATACATTTTTCCTTTCTATCCTACAGATGGCTGACCAACAAATACTTGATAGGTAATAATGCAGTAACCTATTTGCAAATAGTTAAACTTCATGTATAATTCAGTGGCTTATCTTTTTTCCATGTTGTTATTGAAAACAACCTTAAGCTCAAGGATCTTTTTCTCTTGCACTTTCCTCATCCACTTTTTGTCTGGTATCATCAGTCAAGCTTACCTTTCTCATCCCAGACCAAGTTGTTTAAATTATACAAAAAGATAGAGGTTCACACATCATCTGGATATGTGCAGAGGAAGAATCATCAACGACGTATGGCTTGTTGCATTAATGAGCATCCTAGTGAAACTTGCTTTATATCTTCACATACAGGTCTTTGTTTTCCCTCATTCTTTCCTCACTTGAAAATTGAATTGACTATAATATATCATTTTGATAGAATAAGTAACATCGGTTGTCCTTAGTACTACATTCTATTGACATTTTATAATATATCCCTCCTAATAATGTAAGCAATTCTTTCAAGGGTTATCCCATGACTGCATCACCTACACTGCTTAACTCTACTTTTTCTGACATTTCCAGACCCACGTACTTAGAGGACTAGCTGGCATCTTAAAACCCCTAATTTGTGCAACAGCATTGATGGACTTTGGATTATGACCATTACTTTGGCCACTTTCCATCAGTTTTGTTCTTTGTACTGTGTACTAGCTTAACCAATGTGAGTTGGTCCTAAGGTCATCCTCACAATACTTTTTAAGATTTTCTTGCATCCTTTAGCACTTATAAAGATCCTTTGAATTGATAACATCATGAGAATGTTTGTGATTGTATTACTTGAAAACTTGTTAAGAGGGGTTTATTGGTCTAAGGCATTTGAAACTTTCTGTTATTTCAGTTGCCACTATATTGAGATAGAAGAGGTTTGCATTGGTTGTAGCAATGTGCATCCTATCTGTTGGAGCAGTGATTTTGCAACTTGCTTTATATCTTCGCATAGAGATCTTTGTTTTCCCTCATTCTTTCCTCGCTTGAAAATAGAATTGACTATAGCATATCATTTAATAGAATAAGTAACAGATTTAAATAACAAATTTTGTCCTAGATACTACATTCTATTAGCATGTTATAATATATCCCTCCTACTAATGGAAGCAGTTCCTTCAAGGGTTATCCCAGGACTGTATCACTTATACTGCTTAACTCTACTTTTTCTGACATTTCCAAACCCATGTACTTAAAGGACTAGCTGGCATTTCAAAGCTCCTAATTTTACAACAGCATTAATAACCCCACCCATGAATTAGACTACCCAAAAAAAGTAAACGTACAAAATTACAATTAACTGCTTTCTTTGTTTTCCCAGATTCTTCTCCTTCCCAGACAGGTTGATTGATGCATTAGGAAGGTACACCCATCACCCATGGTTGGAGCTTGATTCTTGATTCTGCCAATGCAGGATTTTTCCAAGAGAGTCATTTTAATAATACCCTAACAAATTTCGCATTCGGTGTAGTCCTATTTCATCACATCTGAATGTTTTTTTAATCTCAGGTCAACTTCGAATTATGCATCTGCCTATGACAACAATGCTTGATTTTTCTCAATGGGATGGATGCCTTCATGCCTCAGGTAATATATGCCAGTTCCATTTTATTAGTTTCTGTTAGTGTTCTTTTTTGTGTGTCTGTCTGCATGCAACTCAATTAAATAATCAATTGGAAAGAAAAGTGCCCATCTCTTGCAAATTTGAACACCAATAACACACCAAAAAACATGATGCAAATTTAGAGCCATTGCGACA